AAATAAATACCTGTCTCCATGACTATGGTGAAAGAAGAAATGAAATCCTTCTTCAATCTTGGGTATATATATTGTGAAGTGATAATAAACGTATCTGATCTCACCAGCTTCTGCCTTTATTCACATTAAGTAAAAAAGAGGAAGCCTGATTAAAAAGGCTTTGTTTGGAAAACTAAAAACCACAATTCACCATTTCTTTTGCATCATTGATGTAGCATATTAAGGTTGTTCAGATGATGTGTAAACAACTAACTGACGTAAGGTTAAATGCAAAATAATGGCTTGTTATTATCGTCATCAAGGATATTATGTTTTTGATCATGTGTGTTGGTTTCTTAGCAGTATTTCTTCACCATTTATGAACAGATTTTAATGATTTTTTTAACCAGAGGTGTGCCTCATTTCAAGGAGCAATAAATTTAGGGATAATCCAGATCACAATCTGATTACAGTAATATTTCAAAAGATTCTATTATTATTATTTGGCAGAACAAGCTGGCAGACAGATCCAGCTTTGGACTTAAGAGGTTTGAGGTATTAAACTGGAGGCAAAAAACACAAAAGCACAAGAAAGGGGAGCCATGTGAGAACAGAGCAAACACCAGAGGCTGCAGACACACGCTGTGCCTTACTTATGAGCTCATAAAAGTATTTCAAGGAAATTTATGCCAGAGGTGCACCTCACGCCAAGGAACCTTTCATTAAAATTTGGGTAATGATCCAGAACATGTCAGTCACAGTATGGGGCTAAATTTGCTGCTTGGTGGAGCTGTGTGCTCTTTGCTTTTCTAGTTGGATTTATATTTGTTTCATCTTATTAACTTACATTAGTAGCTATCTTTTAAGGGCCCTTGGCTGGTCCCCTACAATTTTTTTTAAATATCAATATTTGTACTAAAATATTCTTTCTGTCATTAGGATCTAAAGAGAAGCTGATTAGAAAGGCTTTGTTTGGAAAACTGAAAACCGCATTCATTGAGTAATATAGTGAAAGGATGGAGTAAAAGAATATGCACGCCCAGGAGAGGGAGGGCATCACTCCAGTGGCTGGAAGTTGGAGAGGATTATGCTGTGGGCTGCCATTCGGCTGCCGTTTGACTGGGAAGGGCCGTTTTGAATGGCTGCTACTGTAGAAAGTCTGCTTGTTTTAGTGTTGTAGTGTGGGTGTCATCCAGAAGAGGGCGCTTTCTTTTCATCCATCTGTAGGACCAGACTCGAATAGTTTTAAAAGAAATTATAATGAGTATGCAGGATTGTTTTACATGACAAGGATGCAGAATCAATTTAATATTTTTTTTCGCTGTATTTTAGATAAAACTCCAGATTTTATGAAAATGGTTACCTGTCAATCAACACGATTAATAAGCTTTAGGCTACCTCGATAAGTTGTATCCTAACTTGGTTTCTATACATCTGTAAGTTTTTAGGTTTGGTCAATATGGGAAACCTAAGTCACATATATTCTTTTTTTTTAGGCAACGTTTCTAAATGATCTTTATTTATACAGTAATTTTTGAAATGCTTCATCCTATGCTTTAACATGCTAATGAGGTCCAGAGTCTGAGGAGTAATTTTCAGTTTCTTTAAAGATTGCATGTTCTGACCTTGCTGTGAATTTGATTGTTAATGAGCTCCTGGGAATATTGGAACGTGTTAGTTGTTCAGGTAGATTCTCCATTTGTGAATAATCTTTCAATCTCCAGAGTAATGGTCCTTTATAAGTTGGAAAAGGGCCTTTTAACCCTTCCCGGATTTATGTAAATAAGATGAATTTGTGGGCAACCTGCTCAAAGAGATCAACATGTATTTTCCCTTAGTATATCTGAAATTCCAATAAGGTTAATATTAAATAAGTTCAACCTGTCAGTCTTGCTAACATTTATTTAATTGCATGCAAATATTTATAGATTGCATTGAGATTTCAGAGGATCTTTTTTTTTTTTTTTTAAATACCTACGTGTAAGTAAAATTACCAATAAGGTTATATTAAGAATAGTAAGAATCCCTGTAGATGTTTGTTGTACTCTCATACCCAGAAGAATATGATGAGGCCTTCAACAGTTTGAACAGTGCATTAAATAAAAGGCCATAAAAAAATTCCTTTTACAACTATACACAATATAAAAAATACCAACTGATACAAATTAACTTTAAGAAACAGGAGAAGTCAAATCAAAAACTTTCGGAGCATCCTGCCTCATCTGCTCTAGATTAGGAAGGACGAGGTAGCTGCAGCATGATTTGGTATAAATTTTATCTATATGTCAAAGCTGATCTGAATAATTCACATTTTCATTCAGTGTTGACCCGGAACATTTTACCAGCGGAATATTGACTTATTCTTAATTAGAACTTTAAGTTATAGTTAATAAATTTCATTCAAATTAAGGGTAAAATCAACTAATAATCTTTAGTTAAATTATTATAACTGCCAATAAGCTAAAATAATAGGTGTTATTAAAGGCTTGCCTTTGTGGCTGGACTTTTTTGGCCACTAGTTAAAATCCAGGATGTCTTCACCTTCAGTTAATGCTGCAAGGACATTGTCTCTTTCTATTCAAGTTGTTAACTCAAAGGAAGTTGTTCCAGCTCTTGTAGAACCTGCCACTGCTGGATAAATAATGACAGACAACTATAATTAAAACAACAATGTGTGTTTTATTAAACCTTATAATCCCCATCATGGTTTTTCATGTTGTTCAATAAACTTTGAAAACGCTACAAGCTTCTGGAATAAACACAAATTACATGAAAAAATCAGTAAACATACAAGAGTTCAAATTAGTTCTTAAAATAGTGTTTGATAATGTTGAGTTCATTACCTCAGCTGTTGTGATGCATTTCAGCAAATTAGCAGCATGAATTATATATATAACAAACAGATGTGTGACAATGGTCTTTACAACATTCAAATCAATAATTTTTCACTTAATCCATTAATGAACAATTACCAATAAACACAATAGATGTGATGTGAACGAGTGATGTGGGGAAAACAATGCCTCTGTTGCCATGGCAACCAATACTTTAGCGGCGAACACTCCCAATCCACTGCTAGCAACAGCCATCCAACGGCCACAAACCAGAGATTGCACCACGGGTAACGAGAAGTTCAGCCAGAATGTTGTGTCTCTCCTTGCATCAGGCCGAAGTCCAAGGAGGAGAGAGAGAGAAAAAGTTTTTCTAATGCTTTTAAAGATACCACACCTTGAGAATGTAATATCAGATTTAAGGACTGTGTCAAAACACACCCATAAGTTGATGTTTTGGTGTCGGGGTTGTAGTTCTGAACCGGGAAGTTCTAGTTCTGTTCCGTAACAAAGTGCTCAAGATCAAGAGGGATCATTTTTGAGCCAACCTTTAAGGCCAAGCATACATACAGAAAAAACCTACAATGCAGCGATAGAGTTGATTCCTTCCTGCTATCATTGCAGCCCCCATCGCTATGCATAGGACCAAAACATCTCACCTGGTCAGCAAGGCCAACAATGACCCTAACAACTCCCTTTTCACACGCATAGGCCAGTATCTGGTATTGTTGGCCAATAACAACCTCAGCGACTCCCCATTACTAAGGAGTTGACCTGTTTTCTTGGCTCAATTTTCAGGTTTTCTAAGCCAAAAACAAGACTTTTTAAACTTTTTTGGAATGACTATGACCTCAATGACTGACAATCTCCACCAACACCTCGTTTTCCTCCTGTTTGTGGCTAAGTAATGTTAGCAAAGCATTCTTCAGGCGAATAACTGTTCTCTTAAGGAGTTATAAATTAGTTAAGTGAAGTAATCATTAAAAAAAACTTGAGCACAATGTGTTCTGCAATGATTGTTACGTTTGGTACTGTATAAGGTAATCTAACATTAGCTTCACTGTGTTTGTTGAGGAAAGTGAGGCTTGAATGAACACAAACATTTACGTTTCTGCAGCTTAGTTGCAACTTATTAAAATTAGGGAGAAAGAAAATAAAATTTTTGGATGCACATGTGCAAATAAGCTGATGGTATGGATTGTGCAACCTGTTCTGATTACGGAGCGACTGGTAATTATCCACAACCAGAAAAAAAACAGTGTGGTCTCAAGAGGTGGGATTTCCTGAAAAGTAATGAATCCCAGGCTGTTTACTTTCTAAGGTTAGTTCCCATGTCAAGGTGATGAAGGCTGACATGAGCGCCCAAAAAAGGTCTGCAAGAGAGAATCCACAGGTGCATAAAAAGGAAGTGAGCCCAGAGATGGAGCATGGGCTCAGGGTTATGACATACTGGGAGCTTATGGTAAAGAGTTGTTATGTGTGTGTGTTTTAAATAAAACATATGAGTATTTCCTATGGATATACAGTACTTTTGGCAGAACTCCTTTCACAGAGATCAACAACATAATTAATTTATGAAAGGAAAATTTCAATTTTCATGACAATCTGACAGAATCTGGAGAACCTTTCAAGCTAGATGAGGTAAATATTACAAGGTTTAGCAGCTGAGGAACTCCTACCAAACAAGACTGACAGCTAGCACTAAATTAGGCACTGCATCATCCATAAGCTTGTCTAAATTTGTACCAGTATGGGGAAAATGTCAAATTTACCCTCCCAACGTCAGCAGTCTCTTAACCCTTTTGGATTACACGGCTGGTTAGGCAGCTGCAAATAAACAAGCGGGGGAGGCTCCAAACCTGCTTCTCACTGTTATGCTTCTGTTCAGAAGCTTAAACAGACATGGATCAATTTAGCTGGTTGTTTTTTGTTTGTTTTTTCCCCTTGATTAATTTTCAAACTGAGTCCAATATGTGAAAAAAAACATAAAGTCAGCACAGCATTAAGTGCATCATTTTAGGAGGTGCTGTAGTCCAAATCCTAAAATATGTAATGATATAGATGATGCAAAAACACCTGAAATGTTTAATGGGACCGATAGTAGAGTTAGAAGATGATAAATTAGATGCAGTCTTAAGTACCACCAAATATCTATCCTCATCTTCTTCCTCTGCTTTCTGTTTCTGACAGAAAGGGGCAGCAGCTGGAGCCGTCAGAAAAGTACATTTTTAGCAAGCTGGAAGGCAGCCGCAGCATGCTTACCATCCGCAACATCCGCCAGTCTGACGGAGGAACCTTCTCCTGCAAGGCCTCCAACAAGGCGGGCTCTCAGGAAAGAGAGCTCTTCCTCAAGGTGTTCGGTAAGGATCTCAACCACCATTTACCCTGAAAAAGAGAGCATAAAAAAAGCATAAAATGAAAACAAATCCACATTAAGCTTTCTCTTTTTTTGTCACTTTAATCAGTATCTTTGTCATGTTCTCTCCCATTGATCGTCCCATCTTTGCCTTATTCATTTACAGCACAGGCTACTTATCAAAACTCTGTAGAGAAAGATGAAAGGTCTGTATCAATGGGATATTACAATTATATTATAAACAATTTATCAGTTGTATTGATCAAATATGTTATCAGTCTCAGAATCCTTCCCTAAGGGGTAAATACTGTCTCTCAGGGATTCTTTATTTTATTTTTTTTTTATAGATAGGAATTGGATAAATATAATAGGAATGAATTCATCACTGCTTTTATTAAAAGTCTATCTTATTTAATCTTGACAAAACGCAATAAATAGCTTTATTAGGAGTTCATCCTTTACAGAAACTCGTTCTAAATTCATGTTAGCTGGGTTGAAATTGATCTATTTTATAGTAGTAATATTTAACGATTTCCATGCCTCCAACATAAACTAAAAATAACAAAAGATGGTTTTTGATATATATATATACTTCATTTTTTTGTTCTTTTTTACCTTTTTCTGTAATATAGTGTATCTCCAGCGCATCCAAACATAATTGCATTCGCCATTACAGCAGGGAATTTTTATGTCGATCCATAAAGTTTTATGGCGAGGATTCTCACAATTTTCTTTTATCCCAAAACAGTTTTTCAGAAGCCTCAGACTCCAAATATGGCCCCCAGCCCACATCACCAACTATAGCTGCATCGGAAATATCTCATTTATTGCTGCATATTTCTACTGCTGCGTTGATGACATAAAAAAAAAAAAAAAGAAATTCAATTTATAATTTCATGAACCTGCTGGCTATTTCCTCCCAGATCACGCTGACATTCTTCTCATGTAAAAAAAAAAAAAGAAGTTGAGAGATTCGCCGTAGTCATCAACGTCCTTTCAAGATGTGAGAAACGCTTGTTCTTCAAAATGCACATTTTAATGAAGAAGCTAAGGAGCAGGGAGGAGCTCTTCTTTTGACTGCACTGTGGGGAAATGCTATTGTAAGTTAGTTTTATTACCCTTGACAGCAAGGGCAGCATGAAAACGGGTCATTTACTGTAAATTAGACAAGATGTTTGCAGATATGTGTGTGTGCACTACTGTATATTCACCATCAGATAGTAAAAAAATACAGTTTTCTAGAATAGTCTGTATAGAGGTTCATATGCTGCCACATATGTTTTTGAGTGACTGACTGCTTGAGGCTTGCTCATTCTTATTCCACATTTATACCCTTTAACCTGTCGACGTCTGGGGGGGGCCAGAGGTAGCATAAAGTTTCTTCTTAAGCAGCCCTTGAGCTGTAAATTAGAGCGTTCTGTCAGTCTTCAGGGATTATTCCAACTTGCCTTGCTTTCTGGGATCTAAGTTGTAAAAAGCAAATCCACCTTGTGAAGGAACATCTACATGCACCACACCTCTGGGTTAGACATGCCAGCAGCGTGGCCGCAGGGATACCTGAGTTTTTACCTTCATTTTGCCCATGCTGTGAATTTTTTGCAGTTCTTCAAAACTTACTGTAATTCTCTATTGATTTAGATGAAGAATTGACGTTAGCAACTTGTCAACTTTTTACTTGCAGCTCCACATAGTTTAACTCGTGGTGTATTTACCTGGTTCGATTCCCACAGCCTCCATTTTGGGTTCCTTTACCCCACAGTGCTCCACAGGCGCCACACCATGGCAGCCCACTACTCCCAGAGGGAATGGGTAAAAATGCAGAGAGTTAATTTCCCTATTGTGGGACCATAAAGGGATTTACATTTTTATTTCATTTTGAGCTATCTAAAAACAGTAATGGAAGATAATTTTTGGATTTTGCTAAACAGTTAACCTAAAGTCAAAGGCTACGTTCACACCGCAGCCTGAAGTGACCCAAAACGGATTTTATGTCCATATGCAATCTGGATCTGATCTTTTCACGACAGTCTGAACAAAAAAGATCAGATTTTTTCCAATGCGACCCAGGCCTCTTGGCTATGTGGTCCTGAATCCGATACGAATCTGATCTTTTCAAATGCGACCTGTGTCAGAACGGCCAGGTCGCATTCATCAGACCTGAATGTTATTAATACCTGACAATGGTCACTCTTCTGCTTCTTGTTACGCAAAATTGGCAAGACAAACAACAACAATGGTGGATGATAATGCTGAAAGTAGTATTTACTGTATGTTTAACGATCTTGGAAAGATTCAGTTTTTAAGGTTGGGAAAGATCGCTAGATGTTCTTCAGCAATACCATCAATGTTTACTTCCGTAAACACGGAGCACGCTTACTTGTGACGTCATTGCGTCCTCTACTGCAATTGTGGGACACTTAGGTTATATGAATGCAGTTCACTCAGGAGATCACATGCAATTCGCATATATTTGGAAAAGTGAACAGTTATGCAAAAAAATCTGAATTGAGCATCAAGGCCTGCAGTGTGAACGTAGCCAAATTGTCACTATGCTATCATGCTGGCATGTTAGCATTAAGCAAGGCATTGCTTTGCTCTCAAATATAGGAAAGAAAGTACTTATATTTATAACCAGGAAAAAAAAAACATGTTATTTACCTGGTGCTGGCATGGGTATAAATGAACAAAATGCGGGCTTAGAGTTAGAGCATGAATAAAACATATTTATATTTTTTTATTTATTACCTCTACACTAAATAAATTGATTCAAGAATATCTAGATAACAGGGACTTTTTTAAGCAACAAGGCAAACCTTATTTCGGGCAATTTATAGCTGTTAATCTATGAGCGCAGCACTGGAATTTGGGCGTGAGGTAATGTTCTTTACTGTCTCTGTTATTATAAACATAACAGAAGCATAGCTGGTCACACTTTATTATATATGGGTCTGCGTGGTTCCGACCAGGTTTTAAATGGTTCCATCATCACCATCTTTTGCCGTGTGAGAGATTTCCTTAACATCCACTAATCGTAGAAGTAACTAGTGCTGTGTCTGAACGTCAGCCCTAACCCCTAAATCCCTCAATCACTTTATAAAGTGGGGAATATATAGTGGACTTTATACTGAACTGAACGTTCAGACAAATTATCAATACTTTTTGTTCCCATGTCATGTTACTCCGCCTTCCCACATGGTGCCTGTGCCATCGCACACTGTTGCGATCGCAGCAATCTAGGATATATCTGCTTGTCCAGTGACCATGCATGATCACTACTTTTCAAGGTGCATTGTGGGAAATTTCAAATCCACTACTTTTCCCACTAGATTTTCAGTCAGTCATTTTAAAATGGCATAACCACTATATTGGGTCCTATATAGTGCTTAGGGCGGACATTCAGACACAGCCTTGGTCTTTTAATTTTTGGTTTTTAAAATCTGAGCTTTTCAAGATCTCTTATGTTTTTCACTTTGGTTTTAGTTTAATAATAGCCAACTTTATATTTACCTCTACTGATTTTAAAAAGGAGTTTGTGGTCAGGTTGGAGAAGAGTCTTAAAGACCAGAAATATGAGCGGGGAAGACGGACAAGAGCTCACTTCCAGGAGGAATAAGAAATAATCTAAATAATATTTTTGAACACTAAGATTAGAATTTATCCTATTCCAGCCGCAATCAGGAGTCATACCAGGAGAAATTTATCTCTTTGCAGACTAAATCTGACACTTACTCTCTTAATGTTTTGCTTGTACGTCGTAAAACACAATATCTGCTTTTCACATCAACACATTATTCTCGCTTCTTTCTTCTAATGAATAAAAAGACAACATCAGTTTTCACTGCTTTATGGATAAGCTCAAAAAATGTAGATGATGTAGCAGAACATGTCTGATGGTGGACTTTATCATTAAAGCCTCTTAGCTCCTAAGGGGAACAGCGGTGGATACAGGAGGGAGAATCTGTGCTGACATTTGTTTTATGGATCTGCACGGCTTAAGCAACAAATAACATGCATTAGGCCGATCAGATGCAGCAAGTTGAACATTTTACCTTGTGATGTCTGCCTGTGGGTGGAATAAGAGCTTTATGTAATGTCAAATCATCCAAGGGAGGGTAAAAATAAAGCTTATCTGAAAATAAGGCATTTTTCCAGCTTTAATTGCACGCTGCCTAATATTTAAAAAGGCAAACAGTGTGTTTTTCGTACATTTATGTCTTTTTGACATTTGTTTTTCTGCTGGAGAGATGGAAGAACTAAACTACTTCTTTTAAACTGTAAGGGTGATGGTTTACATCATAAATATAATAATCTAATGACTGGCTTTTCACTGATATAATGAACTGTAATTATGGTGATAAAGGGAGTCAGATGCAAAGCAACAGCGAGGAGTTTGTTCCAGTCTGCTGGTTGGCTGGATGATGATGCTTTCACCACAATTTGGCCTTACTTTATATGATGGAAAAACAAACCCGCTGTGAAAGGAGAACGTGAGGACCGGTCAATCGTTTGGTCAGCCTTTCACTGTGAAACTAAAAAGAAATAAACAGCTGCCTTCATCCATCAAATTCATTTTATGCTAATTAATGTAATTTTTTTTAAATAACTGGCAAATCAAAAAAAGTCTAATCTAAACCACAAGCATTTTTTTAGGTACTGAAGTAAATGGTATTTCTGACATTTTGTCATGCTAAGAAAATGAACAACAAGCTATCTAACCTAACTGTCCTTTTCGTAGTCGTGAAATATTTACTGAAATGCTTTTTTATGCACATTTTTAGAGTATTCATTAACTCTGTTGGTCTTTTCTGACAATTTTCTAAAGACTACCAGATGGTCCTTAGTTGTTGAGGTTGCTGGATTGTATAAATTTTTTAGAAGCAAAGTCTTCATCCTGTGTTTGGAATTGCTTCATAACTAAATAACCAAATATGCCATCTTGTGGTGGGTTCAGACCAAGCTTGTTTTGTGCGTCAAAAAGTTGGATGCATGTGCATTTTACAGTTTGACTTATTTGAAGCTCTAGATGCACAAATGACATTGGGTCTGATTGAACCACTGGAATGACTCTAGGCATAGTGGATTGGCAGCACAGTCTCTAAAGCAGGGTGTCAAACTCAAGTTCTCAAGGGCCGGTATCTTGCACATTTTAAATACGTCCATGATCCAACACACCTAATTAAAATGGCTGACTTACTTCATCAGTATGCAGTCAAGTTCCTTAAGAGCACTGCTAATAATCTGATTTGATTCAGGTGTGTTAAAGCAGAGACACAACTAAAAGTTGCAAGACACTTGCGCTTGAGGACTGGAGCTTGACACCTGTCCTCTAAACCTTTGGTGTCAAATACCTGTCCTTGGCGGCCCATGTCCTGCAACTCTTGGTCCCTTCTCTGCTTTAACACTCAAGAATTTAATGTTAGGTCATTAGCAGAGCTTGACTGCAAGTTGGAGAGGTAGTTTAGCGTTTTCTTTTCAATTAGGGCCAGGGATGCAGAACACCTGCCCTTGAGGATTCGATTTTGAGACCAGTCATGTAGAGGAAGTAGCTCTCTGAAGAAAAAAAGCATCAGAGGATGTAAGAAAAACAAATGGTGGATTTGTCCCAACATCTTTACCTGAATCAAGCAAAGGTTTGGCCTTAAGGGACAGTGAAGCATGTAACAAAACTGCGTATTGGTTGCAGGATTGATCGTTCCAATCAGTTGCAAGCTAGAGACCAAGAAAAGTAGCTAGAGTAAAGATTTACCTCATTAACCTGTTGCAAATTATACTAGATAAATAAAAGAAAACTGAAATCAGACTAATTAAAGCTCTGTAACCTTAAGTCAAGATGAAATAACCCAACTTTTGAAGGTCATATGCTTCTGGACTCCTCTCATTAAAATGCGTCTCATCTCTTTCTCATTTAGTTTTGTAATACTGCAGATAATTCTTTATTAATAACTTTCCCAGCAGAGGGACTTTTGCGCCGTCTTGATAAATGAGACATTTTCCATTTAATGTTTTCACAATGAAGGGTATTTGAGGCGAACCACTTCCAGATATGGTGATGATGGAGGACTCCCTCAGTGCATTAGCAGCTCAAACCTTGTTTGTGTTTTTTTTTTCTTCCTTATATGTATGTCTAAGGCTGTGAAAGTTTTAAAAGCTTTTAGAAGGTGTAATAGATGTGACCAATCTTCCTGAGTGCTCCACGTATCTTCCTCTCTGCAGAAATTATCCCTGCAGTCATTTGTTGTCATTATGAGGCCTTAAAGTGATTTGATCAATTGGTTAAGGTACATTTTGACTTGTTTCCTCTGTGATCTGGTGCTGGGAATTAAAAGTAGGGCCTAAAGCTGATTTTTGTGTGTTATTTGCGAACACTGAAGTCTGAGTTGTTCCAATTTGACTTTGGAGTGAGATCTGTAAGCGTGTTTTTTGACTGGAGACATTTTTTGTCCTAAATTTGAGAACTCCTCTGCACCTATTTTTCTTTTTAATTTTAGAGAACCAACTTCTACTTCTGTTGCTATCAGAAAACATTGCATCCATTGCCAGATGGCAGCGGCATGAAAAGGTAGCGTAGCTTTTCTGATCCTGACGGCTGCTCCTGCAGGGTTTTTTTGTGCTTTCTCATGCCAGTTCTAGACATTTCTATGTTGTTCTGTTTTATAATTAAAAAAGAATAACTGGAGTTCATCTGCAGAGAGCTTTGAACGTCCGAACCCTTGATGTCAGTGCATCTTTTCTAACTTAGTAGTTCAGTTTTTGGAGCATCCTGTTGATTTAAATGCTTGCAAACTGGGCAGAACATTGAGTTCATTCCTACTTGGACCTAGAATTGCTGTCAGAATTTACATATGCTGATCAGGGCTTTCATTTAATTTAATATCGGTTTGGATTGTCTATAATCCTGGTTTGAATAATAACAAAACCAACCAGACGTGAATGTTAATATTGATGTAGGCATAATTGTCCACTTAATTTCCTCTGAGCAGTAAAAAAATATTAAAGGCTATTTAGATGTAAAACATCAGTATTTTAATAAATGAATCCAAACTCTGAGTAATGCTGGACGCAGGTTCACTTTTCTCTTACCACCTCAGGTTGGTATTTACCCACAGACGGTTTCTATTCTCAGATCATTGATCTGTTTACTGAAGGTGCTAGAAGGTAAAATAATACAGGTGTGTGCTGATGTGTATGTTTGCATGACCTCCTGTTTTGACAAACTCTCCAAATCCCCTGAGATGCCTCCTTCACCCCAAAGCTGAAGCCATGTGATATTGCCAAAACAGTCCCAGGACTCCGCCCGCAAGCGCCGTTAAAAGCCTCCAGAACACCAGTCACTATTTTCCCTTCATTTCTTCTTTTTTTTCCTTTTTGGATTTTATGCCATGCTGCATTTGCAAGCCGCCTGTTAAGGTTTTACATGGAGTGTGGTTGTGTGTTTGTGTGTGTGTGTGTATTGGGAGTGGGGGAAGAAAAAAAAAAAAGTAATCCATGATTCATGTAGCATGCCTCGTGCCCTTGACATGCATTGGGTGTTGGGTCTTGCTCAGTGCACCTTATCAGGTGGAAGCGGGGAGCTACCAGCCCTCAGTGCCACGCTTTCTAGCACTTATCTGTTCTTAGTGCTCGTTCTGCGTCAAAAAGCAAATCACATGGTATTGAAGAGGCGTCTTTCTAGACAAAAATCTATATTTATTCAAGATAAATAAATATATATATATAGAAGAAAAGCTTCAACAAAGGGGCTTAAAAGTTTAACAACTTTTTTCTGTCGCGTCAGGCCTTTTCAGTCAGTGCAAGAAAAGGAACAAAAGGCCATTCTACCCCACTATATCAAACTTGTTAAGTCTGACTGCGGCGTACAAATGATCTTGGCCTATATTGTCAGTGCAAAGTCATGCATCAGTTCAGTGTCTAAACCCCATGGTATAGCTTTCATCTACTCTACTTTATGAGTTGACAGTTTCACTCCTGCTTCTCCCATCCTCACACCTCTTTCTCTGTCCTTCCGCCTTGTTCTCCTACCCTCACCTCTCTTAATTTATTTCTCTTGTCCTCTGCGGCTGGCCAACAGTCCAGCCCCATATCACCCAGCTAAAGAACGTGACAGCCGTGGAGGGCAGCGCTGCCATGATCTCCTGCGTCGCTGAGGGCGAGCCTCTGCCTGACATCTCCTGGAGGAGAGCCAGCGACGGCCAGACCTTCGTGGACGGAGACAAGGTAGATGCTGCCAGAGAGTCCATCTGGCTATGTGTGTGTATGTGTGCTGTTTGTTTGCAACATCACATCCAGCATGTGATCAGCTTTAAGTTGTGTTCAATAGTCACAGTGTAACTTAGTAGAGGGGAGAGGGATGTTAGTTAACTTTGCATACAGCTTATATTTGTATTTGTGCCAACGGAATGGGTTTTGAATTTACTTATTAATTAAGGACAAGCATGTAGTTGCTTTGTTGCTATGTTTAGAAACTTTTAAGACCCCTCTACTGTAGCTACAGTTTGTCAAAAAAACAACTTGCAACAAACCTTGCAGCTTTTCTGCTGTTTTGTTCAAGACTTTGAAGACAGCACACTGGCACAAGCCACCGATCGCAGCATCTGCAACAAAAAAGGGACACCTTGTGGTCAGAAAGCTGCCACAACATTCATTAGATGACATCTAAAGGAACTTACCTATACAATTAAAGGCATATAAATATATAAAAAAAGATATACAAATTAGAAATTCACAGGTTGTCAAAGCTACAAACTAATGGATAGTTTTTCTGCACTAATTGGTTTATTGTGTTGCTGCAAAAAAGGATCAATAGGGAAAGAGCGATACTTGTTACTCCTAATTTATGGCAACAATGACGCATATTGATGTGTTAATTTTCCCTAAGAGGTAACCTAATAACAAATTACTTTGATTTTTTTACCCTTTTGTAAATGCTGACCAAGCTTTCAAAAACATCAATAGGGAGTGCCTGTTTTGTTTACTATATGCTGGATGTGATTCTGAACCCTCAGGTGTTGTTACTTTGAGTGTTTAACGGCTTATTATTGAGCTAGTTGTTTACCAGCCACTTCATTAGATACAGCAGTTGATCAAATCGCAGCAACTTAGTGAAAAAATGTAACATCTATATGTGTAGAAGAAGGGGTGATTTATGGGACTTGGCTGGTTGTTGGTGCATGAGAGGCTCTGGATTGAGGATTTCATTAATCACTGATCTACTAGAGTCTTCCAAACAAACGTCTGTCCAGTTCAAAGTTGCAGGATGAATGTGCCATGTTGATGATAAAGGATAATTGCCATAGTTAAAGACTGTCTGTGACTGCAAATGTAGCCAATTCCAAACCTTGCTTTCACTGGAACACATAGCATGTAGCTACTGTATAAAGAGAAGTAGCCTGTAACAATTTCGACTCAAAAGATACCAAAGGAAGGCTTTAGGGACTGGCAATTCTAGAAAACAGAGACCAAACAAACTAATAAATTCCCCATAAAGTTTATTTTATAGGAACACTTCATAAAAAAACAAATAAAAAACTGTTACATTTAAAATGCACCTGATGCCATGTTCATTGGTAATCGAATTAACTATCAAGCTCAGAACAGGTTAGTCAGAACAAGTTAACAACGTTGGCGTCTAAGGCAGGAATCTCTGCAGGTGGAGAAAGCAGGTTAGTGACCATGTCTTTCTGGAGGTGGATGATAATGAAGGTGTGACTCCCTAACCTGGTCTTATAGTTCAGTCCGAGCTCAGAGGGTGAAATTGGTTCCAGCCAACTGTTGTCGACACAGCGGTTGTAGAACAGGTGTGTTGGTGATGTGCTTGGTTGTCAGAGATACAGTGAGGTGCCGAGGTAGCATCCAGAACAGAGTCGGGTAACATTTCCAAGTTGGCCACCGGAGCAAACAGAGTTCTGGTAGGAGTCCGAAGACGCATCAGGCAAACAGATTAGACGGGGACAGGCAGGTTTAGAGGTTGAGAGACAGAAGGGGACAAGATCAGGCAATCAGAATACAGGAATGCCTGAATACTTCTCACCACTGTCTTGAAAAAATCTGGCTGTGATGACTGGTCTGAAGTCTGGTTAAATAGGGATTAAAATAGGTGGATTAGATAAGCTGGCAATGAGAACTGATGGAGCCAAACAGGTGTGTGAAATGAGTAATCAGGTCCCTAAGACAAAACAAAAACAACCAGTTACAAACACAAAAACAGTACATAATTATATAATCCAGACTATATCCAAAAGATGAGCAAAATTTGCTCTAATGTTCACAGGTTTGAGTCAATTTAAGCCATTTTTTTTACTCTGTTGTTGAACCTTTTTAGGTGTGTGATGGTTTTTAATTGAGTGTGTTATTCCAGATCTGCGGCATGAGTACCTCACATGCTATATGTTTGCATCATGTTCCAGACAATTTTAGGATAAAAGTTATCAATAAATTTATAGATGGGATGAAATGGTTAAATGAAAGTACTGTAGATAATTTAAGGCAGTACTAGTAATTTGAGTTATTCAGAAACTCTGACTAGCCTACCGCTTTTCGCCCATACTAAAGCCAGAAGTGTGATGTCATTCGAAGAGCTTAATTAGACAACATGTTAAATATACACACTGAAAAGGATAGCAATAGTGACACAAATACTTTGAATTTTCGACAAGTGAACGTATTGCGACGCATCACAAAAGAATCCAGTCGACAAACGGGTGCTACAACTGCTGCCCCATATGTTCATGCTCGAACATATTGCTACATACTCATCCAACCTTTCAGATAACAGCAAAACTGTGTTTATTCGAAAGCAAAAGAAAATCTCTTTAGCTCCTGTCTGACGACAGCCATTCACCCGGTGTGGCGTCACTGGTTTTGTGGCCAGAGCAGAAGCATTAGGTTGCTAAGGCGGTTGCCATGGCTCTTTCTCACATTTGGCTGAAAAATCTCATAAATATTAACGAATTTTATTTGTTAATAATAACTGTCCAGTCCTTGCTGTGAAAAAATTAAAGCTCCAGTACTTTTTTAAACAATTTTTTTAATCCCTTCTGTAAAGACTAATTTTATTAAAGAATATTTTAGATAATTCTCAAATTGGGTTTTTCTTGAATTTTGCCATTGTATGGGGTTTTGGTCTAACACTTTTAAGTCTTGTTAATAAAGTAAGACTACATTTTTCATTGCTAACTTGTGATGAAGTGTGAAAAATCCGATAGAAATAATAGAATAAAAGTAGATTTTAGCTGCATATATTGATAGACAGTTGTATTAGGCAAAACCTATTCAAATTAGCCCCAATAGTTTTTGTTATTTTCCTCATATGTGCATAAAATCTTACTTGTGAATCCAAAGCTATTCTTAATTTTTTGTTTAGTTTTGATTTTACGAATTGGGTCATGATTCATTTGAATGAGGAAGTTTTCTGTAGAGTGATGCACATAGGGGCTGTTCTAGACAAAAAGACTGACTGTTAACAGACACTGAGAAAGACTGTTTGTCTGTTCAACAGGTTTGCAGCTTTATCTTTATCTAGCTGGGCATTTAATGTAAATTTTTTTGGTTTTTACTCTAGCTGAAATAATTTTTGATAAGTAACTTTCTTTGTATTTATTTGTATTTGTTTTGTAATCAAATCCTCTCTACCGAATAAATAAAGGAAGTTAATGCTGCCAAATGTATTCATTTGGTTTCAAAAAGCCACATTTTGAGTTATCTATTTACAAAAATAAAATATTATGATCCAATAAAGTGTCTGTGGTGACATGAATGGAGAACTGTCTTTTTCCACACTATAATAAATGCGAAGAGCCACAAAGAAGGCTGCCCTCGGATAACATATGCATATTCACCCTGCACTCATACCTCGCTGAGTTTTATAGTCTCACAGGAAATCAGATCATGCTTTTATTTTGTTTCGCTCGAGGCGAAAGGAAGCAACCAAGGACCTTGAAGTTTTCAAGGTAAACGTTTCGGTTTACCCCTTGTTTGGTACTTTCCTTTCACTTAACAAGGCATCATTTGATCCAGACTCAAAGCTTTTAGTTTTTTTTTTTTCTATTTTACTCTTTGCAGCCATTTTTCTCTCTTATTCAGGAGCTCAGTCCCTCACATCAGGAAAGTGAATAAGTTCCAGCCTGTTTCTGGAAGCACTAATTATTTTTCAACATCAGTTTCTTAGCATAGGACTGAGGTTTTCATAGAAGGAATAAAAAAATTTAAATAAATAAAAAAACAAAGGAGGCAGACGATCTTTTGCTCTGAAAAAGGTCACCGTGGAGATAAATGAATGTGTGCGTTGGCTCGAATCGCTCGCCTTGATAAATCACAGCCGAAAATGAGAGTAAGTGCTCCCCCCCCCTCCACACCCTGACTGCAAACGCAATTATGGAGATGCGCGGAGCAAACCAACACACCTAAACATGCGCAAAGACAAACATGACTGGAGCAGCGCCGGTCATGATGGATGGCAGCAGTCATTTGGGTTTAAGGCAGAATGTTCCTCTCTCAATTTGCTCTCCAATCTGCATATCCAGCTTGCACACACTCATCTCCTGCTGAGGCATCGGGCACCAAGAGGCTTAGTTTCCCATCTACATTGCATTCGCCCCTTTCTTCCTCAGCTAACACTGTTACCCTCAGTAAGAGAGCATAATGGGAGGCAGTTTGTAGGATTTAATTATGTACTAAAGGGGGATTTGAGTTATGGTATTGTTTCATTCTCTGGTGTTTTTTTTGTTGTGAGGAAGGGAGGCAGGGTGTTTTTTTTTTGTTATACTAATTTGAATGGTACTCCTTGTGAATAACATCTAAAGGGGGTCATAATATCTATAAATAACATTTTATGTGTCATAAATATAAATTGTTATCATTATTTCATTATTTATACATTATTTATGTATCATGCTTTTTTTTACTTTTAGAATCAACTTTTTTGCATACATAGAATGAAATATTACCTTAGGCAGCTTTATTATTTAGAAAATACTAGTTGTTTTCTGGTTATGATATTTGGAAAACCCTTCCTCACTTGGTGAATGCCCACCTCTCGCTTTCACATCAAAAACATTATTTTTTTCAACTTAGACATTAGCCAATAAAAATGACAGTTGCTGTCAATGTGCAGATAAAGTGTTAAAAGAGCCACTTTAAATTTTAAGCAAAAATGCCCACGCTCTGCTACTTTCCACATGATTTTGATAAGGAATTATGACAGTTAAAAGCAAAAAAAA